AACTATGCTATTGTATATAAGTAGAACATATTCGTACGAGTGAGTCGCGGATATCGTTTACGATTGTGTCGATATTAGACAAGAAAAAAAGAAATGGAAGAGAAGGAAGATGAAGAAGGGAAAGGAAGCGAAAGAAACCAACTCGAAGTAGGCAGCTGATGAATTTTATATTTCCCTTTAACGAGCATAAACACGCATAATGCACTTGTTTCTCTCATAAATGTGTGATAATGTCATTCATCGAGTATCACGTTTACATTTTGCAGCATGTCGAAGACATATATGTATTCGTAGAACGTATTCGATATTGTGCACTCCTCTTTTGATATATAATTGAAAGAAAAAGCGTAACTAGCAAATTTTTGTCGGATCGTGGTTCGCCCCCCCCCTCTCATCCCCTCACCTCCACCCCTCCAAGAAACTCAATAGTATAAAGAAATGCCGAAATATATGAATATATATATATATTTAAGTGAATTATATCGCTTTAGCGATTTATGTTTTATAAGATGTCTCTAGGCTATAAAAATAAACGACAAAATGTATCCTTTAATTTCTTAACGTTATTTGCACATTTCGCGCAAACCTTGCTCGGTGCCGAGCAGAAAGGTTACTAGGCACACACATACACGCGTGTATATCATATATACATATATACATGTATGTATATAGTATGTAGAAATGGGAAATAAAATTCTCATTCCTCAATATATTTCATGCAAAAAAAATATATAATATATATATATAATAAATGTAAGTATATAATTATATACATGTACGAATTATATGTATATATACATACACATATACTTTATGCTCATTTGACGATAAGTATTAAAACATAGCGTCAAGCTTTCCCATTTTCATGATCGAATCGCGAGACATTCTCACGCATGTGCTTAAATAATACGTAAGATACGAACGTATTTATCTAGGAAAAATTTTATTCGTCGTGACCCCTATCCCCTTGCTTTCGTTCTTCGCGAATTTTTTTACATTGCGAGGCTAAAGCGCGAGTGGAAATCGCCTTGTAGAAATTATGGAATTGGCGCCGAATTTACGGAGATCTGTGGGACCTGCGAGATTCTGTTCGGATAAAAAAAAAGATCTTGGATACCGAAAAACGTGATCTACATAATTGTATCTCAGTGCGACGGCGTGTGTTTCAGCGGAGTAAAAAGAGTATCATTGTCTGTAATTCGCGCGCTATAACTAATTTTTAATCTTCATCCCTTTAATTCGGATCCGCCTCGTGCTACGCTCATTTCTATTGATGTGAATTAATTTCAATCTCGGTTTAACTTAGTTTTTATCTGATTTTAAGAAAAATGATGAATAAATTAAAAATGGAAAATGATGAATAAATTAAATCGAGAGATTGAAGTTAATCTGCAGATTATTTTTTTATAAAAATGGACAGGAAAAGAGAGTGATAAGCAGCAATTATAAAAGTGAGAATTATATAAGTTCTAGAATTATTGTACATATAATTGAATACATTATTTTATAGTCATTGCAACTTATTTAATTACGAATATTAATTAATTTTTTAATTAATATTCAATTATGAATATTAATTTATTTAACTGAATATTAATTTATATGTACATTAATTCTATATATAAATTATGAACTAATTTATTCAACTATATATATTAATTCTACATATAAAACTTGTACAGTTATCACCTTTATAATTACTACCACCGTTTTTCTCAGAGTGTAGACGAACTAAACCAAATTCGATCCATCGCGATTATTTCGCAAGAAAAAAAATCATTATTATTCTGTTGCATTTGTACATACGACGAGGCGCTGCCTGTTCTCTATCGGCCAAGGATACGTATTTAAGCATTCGACGGTTAAGAGGAAAAACGAGTCGTGCTCGGCTATCTATCGGTCAGAATGCAACGCGTTACTTATGTTACGTGCGCGAATCATATGCATAATTATTACTAGTTAATTATAAGATACACGTAGATATATACGCATATATTTATACGTAAGAGGATACACGAGACGCTTCGGATTACGTTCCGGAGACGCGGGTTTTTACGCCTTATCATCGAAAGAGAAAGACGTCCCCGACATCGGCGGGTCTGTTCATCATTTATTTTTTTTTCCTCGCACGAAAAGAAAGATGTATTAACTAAAGCTTTGAGACCTGATCCACAATAGATAGCCTTCGCCTTTCAAGCTCTAAACTGTAACGTTTTTTTTCTTTTTTTTTTCATATATAAAAGCATGACCTTAAGTCTTAATCCCTAAACTTTAAACGAGCTGGCCAGATCGCAGCTGGAAAGTTTAGGAGCTTATTGTTAAAGCGAATTAATGTCACAGCTCAGAGCAAAAGGCTCACTGCACTTATTGCTAACCGGGTCTAATTGAAATTAATCTTGTTAATCCGACATATCGTATTCTTGTTTTTAATGGAAATAAATATTTGTATCATTAATCTTTAGAGGACCGTTGTGAAGTCTCGAAGTTAGTTTATTACGTGTTAAACATATATATTTTTTCTTAGAGCGAAATTTTCGCAATTTAAGAGAAAAATTCCTACAGCCCTCTAATGATTTATTATATTATTGTTAAATCAACGCTCTAATGAAAAAAAATTCTCGTAATGTCCCACAACATTTTGAGAATTTTTCACATTTTAAGTTTGTGAAGGTTTCCAAAAAAAACCTCAAGCTTCTTCAAAGTTTTGTTAAGTTTTCTTTAGCAATTATGAAATGAGAAATTTTAGGATATTTCAGAAATTCACATATATAAACAATTCTATAAAATATTTAAACTCGAGCATTCCGATTCGTATTAAAAAATCTGAAAGATAAAGAACTTTTAAGAAGTTACAAAATTATATAAATTGTGAAAAATTCAAAAGTTTGTATAGAAATTCTGAAGAATTATGTGAAGCATTTTTACCAGAGAAAGATTATTTCCAATTAAATTTAATGCTGTTAATACATCATTTTTTCGTGAATAAATCTCATAGTACATAAAAAAAAATGGAAAATATCAGAAGAAATCTCTCGTTTTGATCCTCCCGTTATGTTTGCACACGTCGCGTTGATTTTTGTAGAAGTAGCGTTATCAGTTATCGAGTTAAACGAGAATTGTTATTTATTATATAATAGACGTATCATTGTTCACTCATACACATGCAATACACTGGATAACTAGCGACAGCAGGACGACATTATATTGATAATTGCGAAGGGAAGAATCAGTTGTATACACGCTCTAGTTAGATCATAGCCGAAATTGATTTTAAACTGAACTACGAAGTATTGATAATATGATAATATGTACGTTTTCACGAGTAAAAAAAAAGATACGATAGGCCGCTCGCAATCACTCGCAATACGAATAATAGCAATGTAAATGAATCGTGTAACGAGAAAGGGGAAGAAAAAAAAAAGAAAAAGAAAATGCAATCGGCGAGCGCGGGCCTTCGACGAGCACTGCTAAGATTTTTAACTTTTACAAGAAGAGACTCGAGTAGGAGTGCAATTGATATCTAGTACAATTTTCTGAGCCCGCGTGATCGGCGGGAGATACATAATGTGTATGTTTCAGTGATTATCTCACTTTTTTCGATATATATTATTATTATTGGAATAATAAAAAGTTAGTGCCAGATCGATGCAGTCGACTTTATTATTATGCATCCAGTTTTCGTGTACGGGATATTCCTTCTCCATTATAGCCGAGAGGGCAAAGAAAAGACAATTATTAACGTGATGCGTGTTTCTGACTTTGCTGATTTATTATTATAAACGACAAAGTACAATAATATATTATAGTATTATTATATATTACTGCGCAGTTAGTTAGAGACGATAAAAATAAATTATATTATATATACACAATTGTATATAAAAAATGAGTTTTATATATAAATAATTACATATTAAAAGAAATTTATAATTTATGTATCAATTATAAATTGTATTTAAACGTAATTATTAATATATAAATACATTTATCTATATATAATTGTGTTTATATACACGTTTAATCTCTCAAAATAAGAGTGTAAATCCGTAATAAATATTAAATTGTGTAAAAACTTAAAAACGAACGTAAGTGTCCTGGACAGTGTGCAGTAAAGTTCATGACGCGCGAAAAAAGTCGTGAGTAGCCGAAAATTTAGATATTAACAATATCGTAGAGAGAGAATTCGCTATATTTTTTAATCTTTTGTCTGATAAACATCAGGCGAGCGTACCGAATTTTTCAATTTCTGAATCGAGGCTTCAGTCACCGCGAGAAGAGGATTCCGGCGATTTTCGACGTTACAAGGAGAAAAAATTTTAAATCCGTTAAAATAGAAGCAAGATAAAATTCCGATAAAAGGAATTCTTTGGCAACAATCTCGCTTATACAATTTTGCGATTATTTCATGTTTTATCAGAATGAGGCACTCTCATGCTAATTATACAGTAAAATAGTCAAACAAGAAAACTATCGGCTACAATCTTCTCACGATATATATATATATATATATATATATATATATATATATATATATATATATATATATATATATATATATTATGTACTGCACATAGCACACGAACGCTTTCGTTTAGCGTATATAAAATATAAACTCTCGAAAAAAATTTAATTCCTTTCCTCCATTCTTTATATTTTTTGGTTATTGCGTCACAGCAGAGTAAATACCAAAAGAATGGTAATTCCTACGTTGAAATAGGTAGACTAGACTATGCTACATCACGATTCCATTTCTTACCGCGTAACACTGCTTGTTACACGGCGAGATTGAAATCTCTGGATTTGGGAGACCGCCCTCCGAATCGCTACTTACAAAAAGTGTAGGATTTGTTCTTGTAACGTTCCTCTACCGTGTACTCTTCTAAAGTAAAATATTAGTCTTTCACGATTAATTCTTTTTATCAAGAAACGCGTCTTTTCAATTAGGCGAATAGCAAAATTATTATAAATAATAGAAATCTTGCTTATAAAAGATGCTCCTCTCCTCTCTCGAATGCACGATTCTAATTCCTCAGTCTCTACGCTACTATAATTCTATCTACTAAACGCGTACGAAAGTTAACATCTGTTGTCTTTCAATGTGTAGTTTCAACAAATCGATCTTATCTCTTTTTTTTTGTCATTAATAACTAACGTATTATAACATTCTTGCGCTTGTCGACATTGTCTCGCGACAGAATGCTATACAAATCGCGTGCGTGCCGTACAGTATCGACGCGGTTCGCATATACGACGTGTAATCGATCGAAAAGACAATTGATTGCAAAATGATTGCGTATACGATAATTTTTACGAATAAATAAAACATTTTTCACTCTAATGACTAGCGTATCGATTGCATAAAGCGCACGTCCGACAATTCCTATTTAAATGTATCTCCTCAACAAAGATATTTCTTTTATTTTCCTCGAGATATTGTCAACGAAATTCTTCAACGTACGCTTCACTTCTTTTTTCCTTGAAGAAGGATTTTCTTTTTCTTGCCTTCTTAATCTTCCTTTCTCAAATTTTTTACGATCGACAAGACGTTACAGCACACACACACGTGTTCTCTGAAACCTTATCATCACCAGAATGGGAGAGGATAATGGGAGGAAGGCGACAAATTGACCTCCGGCCTCACTCGGGATCGGTTTCCGCTTCGCCGATCGGTAATATTGCAACGGGACCAGCAGCTGCTAGCTTGGCTTTGTATGCCTCCGGTTCGAACCAGCGAATCGGTGCCTGTCAAGAAAGAGAGATTAGTTCTCGGTTGAGCCTTGTAATATAAATAAGAAAGCATTAATCCCTTTACCTTACCTTGTTATAAGCAGCATGCTTCGATTCAGTTGGAAAATCAAGTGTTAAATTATGTGTGGGCACATGCAGGCGATAATCATAAGTTTACACATTTGCAAGTGTAGTTTATACGATGCCTTTCTAATCTGGTGATTGACACGTATGTAATAAAAAAATTGTATTTTGGAATGTTAGTAAATTGGTTTGCATCTTTCTTTTTCGCCATTCAATATCAAAATGTGCCCATTTCTATCAAGATTATTTTACGGTTTAATTTACTCCTTATCTCTAATTTTTAGAACTAGGAAAGTAAGTTACACCGAAATTAAAATTAATTTACATCGATAGAAATAAATTATTAAATTAACCTGACTGATTTTCACATCTTAGTAGCAAGAAACAGCAAGAAAATTACAGTTGTTCTCTTTACTAATCGAGAATCCCATTTTTTACTTTTTTTTAAAGGAAATATTGGACTAATCTATATACTAATAATTTTAAATAAATTGTAGAACAATATATCTAAAATATTTCTTAAAAATTGTAGAACAATATATCTAAAATATTTCTTAAAAAATCTTAATAAATCCAAAATAATTATTTAAACAATTAACTCAATATCTAGATGATTTTATGATAACTTTTAGATATTTTTTAAATATACATATTTCAAAAGATGTTTTTATGATGTCTTTATGACTTCTTTAAAACATATATGTTGTCTGAGAAGTGATCATTCTCATATTAAGCAAGTACATCAATTTATAAAGCATCGTATGAACTGCGCTCGTCCGGTTTACAAAGAAACGCGCAGAGAGCAAGACTCAGCGAATTTTGCAATACTCATTTATTAATATAGCGTGTATGTGAGTTTAACACACAACACTAGCCTTATTAGTCTAGTTTTATTAGCCTCTTTGTATATAAGATCAAATAAAACAATCTCATGTTCAAATGACTTCTTAACAAAGTTCTCAGAACAAGAAAGAGAGAGAGAGAGAGAAAGAGAGAGAGAGAGAAAGAGAGAGAGAGAAACAAAAATATAAAAAAATAAATTTTTTCACAATATGAACAACTAACACAATATACATAATAGGAAAAACAGTTTTAAAAAATATATCATAATATATATATCTCTAAATTCGAAATATAGGAACGTAGACTTTCGAATTTCAATGCAAAGAATATATAAAACTTTGTACATCAGATACTGAATACTCATTGACTGTTTAACACAGTTGCACATAACAACAAACTAATCGAATCTTGATTAGCTTCTCGAGCTAAACATAAAATTTCTCTTTTAATTACATTTCGTGATCGTAATGATTTGTACGAATTCAATCAGTCAATTAATCGCGGGAGTTCAACATGTAAAAAAAAGTGTTTTTGAAAAACTAATCAACAAACAACGTAAAATAAATAAATAAATAAATATACACACATATATATATATATATATATGTGTGTGTGTATCACATATCATGAAACTCGCTTACAATCTCTTTAGTCTTAAGTAACTTTTAGAAATTGTCGTCTCCCCTATTATTGCAAAAGATTTAATATCTAATCACACATATTGTGAAGGAACTTCTAAAGTCTTTTAATTCGCGAAATTATATTAAGATTCCATGATAATCTCCATTAAACTCTTGCTTTAACTAATTATTAAATATTAAAACAGTTCGGTCTCTGCCTACTTTCTTCCTAAAAAGTGCTTTCCTTCTCTTTTAAAAAGGTAAAAGTAGAGACCTAACTGTGATTATTTGTTAAATGGAGCCAAATCTTATTCTTCATTCCTCTCCCGCTTGAATGCATGCATTAATATCGCAATAATCACACTGGTGACACACCGCATCCTCGGGAACGCAGACTTTTCTCTCAGTGAAACGTTAATGCATATGTAGTGAATTATTATGATGCGTGTTGTATACAAGAATATTAAATTGCGGCGTTGCAGGGAAGAGAAACGCGGAAGGTTTTGCACGGTATATGATTGGCGTTCCTGTCGCACAGCGGTACCTTACGAACTATATTGGGACATTCCTTCTGTATGCGCGCCCAATCGGCGGGGGGCCGCTTTGCGTACGGACCCGCCGCGCATAGCAGCAGAAACTCGTACGTAAGTTCTCTCGCTTCTGGAACTAAGTAAATAGAACGGACAGAGTTAGAAGGCGTTGATTAAAAATAGTATCAAGAAAATAGAAGGGTACATAAGAGTCAAATTTAAACGATTGATGTATATAATGTGAACCGTTTAAAATCGATACATTCTTAATTGATTACTATAAGATATTTGGTAATATTATTAGGTGTTGGAATTAATTCGTAGCGTTTTTTAATGAAAGAATGTTATTTATTTCACATGAGCATTAAAAAATACATTAATGAAAGTACTTCCCATCACTTGTAAAACGCTACGAATTAATTCCAACACCTAATACATTACATGACATGTTTCACATACGTTATGGAATGTACTGAGTGATTAGTTATAATTCATTCGACTTTTTTAATTATTTTTTTACTGCGTTTTTTTTAAATATCTGAACATGGCACAATCATGATATCGAAACATGTTATGTAATATAATATTATCAAATATATTTTATATTAATTAAGAATGTATAGATATTAAATGGTTCACATTATATATATCCATTGTTTAAATTTAACTCTTATATACACTTCTATTTTCTTGATATTATTGTTTGTTTAATAAGAGTCCTTTATTTTAATTTTATTTTTCAATCACGTTAATTAAAATTTATTAATTTATTATAATTAATTTACATTATATGGCCAAGTTTGTTCGAAAACAAATTTGATCAATTTCATTTCCATAAAATTAAGAATAATGTATAACGAAATTTTCTAGAATTTTTTCATTGCGATAAATTATCCATGATTATATTTTAATATAACGATGTTACTTTGCGGTACCATATTTGAGTACCTTGTTGAGTCGAGCCTAGCTCCTCAGGGATCGGACGAGGCTTGTAAGTTTCTTCGCTCTCCGAGGAGGTCGCAGCGCTTTCCACACTTAACTCTCGGCCTAGAGAAACAGGAGCGTTCACATTGTCCAACGATGACAACGGCATGCGGGAAAAGTTGGAAGTGGGGGTAGTAGTTATGGTAAAGGTAGGCTCATCCTCGTAATTGAAGTATTCTATCCCACTAGTGAAGTTCTCAGAATCGCCCAAGAAATGTTCATCTAGCACCAGTTTTGCCGTCTACAAGTCAATTTACAGAAATCACACATAAACAAAAATAAACAGAATACATGCAATAAACAGCATATAGAAATAAATTAAATTAAATATTTATCAAGGCTTCTGTTCATTGTTATCTCCGATTGTGATATCAAAGCGAGAATATACATAATATAAATTGCAAAGTATATTAATATGGAAATGTTTCAAAATAACATTTGCAGTGGAGTTATAAAATATACCGAAACTCTCCTTTTGCTTCATTAATTTATTAATAATCGTATATCTGCAAATAAATCATGCGTAACTAAAAACAAAATTATAAATATATTATAAATATATTAATATAAAAATAAATAAAGTTTAATTTCTCTCTAAAATAAGATTTTCGGTATATTTTGCAAAAGTTATCTATTACAAAAGTGATCTTATTGAAAAATATTTCTGTATTCAAATATAATTTCCAAGATTTTTTATTGTTTCCTTAGTTTAACGTAAATTTTTTTGACGTAAATTGAAATAGTAATGATAAATGAACAGGGACCTTACGATCTCTTTTTAGCTTAGCAAAAATTTTGTTCTTTTCCTTTACTTACTTCCACTTTTTCCTCTTTGTTTTTCTTATCCTCCTCCTCCTCTATTTCTGCCCATAATTTCCACATTTCTCCAACTTTTACTTTTCCTATTCCCACTGTTACATCCCCTTTATTTTTTTGTTCTATTACCCTAAAGATCTTTCTCTGAATTTTCCTTTCCTCCCAACTTATGTCATGTTCAATAAAAATGTTATATCTTTTTAACTTATATTTATTCTGCATTATTTCATTCTTTTGCTCTACGCTCCCAATCCTTGCTATTATTACTGGTCCACTACTCTTACTACTTATCACTTTACATTCTACTTCTAAGTTTTCTTTTATAAATGCCTGTACCCACTTTGTCCTGCCAATTATGTTTTTTTCTAAGTCTTTAGGAAATAATATCCCTTTTATTACTATATTATATTTTCTCGTTTCACTTTCTTTCACGTCTACAAGCAACTTTTTAAATTTATTATTACTTTTTTGTTTATTTCCCAGTTACTTTATTTTCACTGTATTGCGATATGGACCTTGCATCATTATTTACTTCCCTACTATAATTACTTCCGCTCTCACTATATTTACTCACTATATTTTCATCACTTACACTCGAATTTTCCTCTTCTTCACTCATTACACAAGTGTCTATACTTTTTTTCCAAACTTTCTAATCTTTCTTCTTCCCATCTTCCTAGTTCTTTTACTTTTTCTTCTAATTCTTCTACTTTCTCTTCCATCTTTCTTATCCTATCTTCCCACAATGTCTTTAATTTTTACATACTCTTTATATACTTTCAGTTTCTTTCTTAATACTGTCATTTGTTTGTTAACTTGTTTGGTTAAATCCTTTCTGAATTTTTCGAGTTCATCGCTAGCCTCGTTATCCCTCACTTTATCTATTATTTTTTTATTACTGTCTCTTTCCTGTATAATTAATTTCTTTTATTTACTATTCTGCTGACTATCAACTGACCTATCTTTCGTGTGACATCCCTGTTTCCCACTTCTTTCGACGTCATAATCTCTCTTCCCGCCCGATTTGTTTTCCAAAAAAAAATTCTACCTTTCTACTTAACGCCTTCCTTTTTCTACACCTATCTTTCTATGTTCTTCTTATATAGTTCACCCTTTTCTACTCTCTTCTTGCTGTCTGTTTGCTCAATTTTTTTTATACACGTGCGGAGTCCGACCCAGTCCATCCCCAAAAAGATACAGCATTCTTTCACGCTATCTAGTCAAGATCAAGGGCCTGTTCTTTTTGGTTGAATTTTTGCATCAGTTCATCTTTCTTTCTTTTCTTTCTACTTGGAGAGAATTGGTGTAAAAGTTCAGCAAAAAAAAACAGGGCCCCTCATGTTCTTGATAATCAAGAAATGGAAAATTTTTCTCAGAATTCATTGAACTTTTCAAAATTTTGCAAATTATAGGATTTTCCACAATTTATGTATAATTTTATAATCTTTTAGAACATTTCTCAATTTTTTTTGTTCAAATTGGAATACTTCATAAATATGTCAATTCTGAAATATTCCAAGATTTTCAATGTATAATTTCTAAAGAAAACTTATAAAATCTGATAAAAGGTTAAAGTATTTTTTCAGAAATTTTCATAAATTTAAAATATGACAAATTCTTAAAAATATTACAAAAACTTACGAGAATTTTTTTCATTGAGATAGCGTGTAATTTCGCAGATTCTGAATTTGTTTTATGCCAACGTGCGTGCGTGCACGCATCTCGCGGGCGCGTGCTGGCTTTTTCTGACTTTTCATGTATGTTTCAAGTAGGTCATATGCAAAAAATAAAATATCTCTTAGAAAAAAACTAGTGTTTTTTTCAGAACGAATATCATAAAAAATGAGATAGCAAAAATTGAAATAAACGTTGAGTGACTTTTAAGAGTACTTTAAAATAATAATTCAAAAAATTTTAAATAAAAAAAATTTTATTTATTATATACAAAGTAAATATTAAAAAATTTTTTAATTATAATTATTAAATACTCTTAAAATCATTCAACATTTATTTCAAATATTTTTTTTTTACGATATTTGCTTCGAAAAAAAAACCAATTGTATAAATCGGTTGTATAAAAAAAATATAGTATATATCCTTTACTAGCTATACAACAACATATTAGAAGCTCATCAAAATCAGAGGGATACGAATCCCTTCCCTTATTAGTTAGATATTGAAATTTAATCAATTGATTTCCCGTTCAGTTTAATAAAATTAGTTAAATAACATAACGACATGGGCGATTTTCATTACCCTGACGAGATCGAGATTGCAGCCCGTAATTTTGAGGGACTGATTGCCGACGGTGACGGTGTACTTGTATTCGCCTATGCTGGCGTCGTTGGTGGAGAGACTGTGCAAGAGGGACGAACGTAAACGGGAGTTGTGCTGTTGATTCTGTTGTTGCAGCCGGTTGCTCTCATCTGACGCGCTACTGTTGAGTGAAGAACTGGAACCTCCCATGGCTCCTTTCTCGCCGCCGGTGCTCTGCTCCAGTCTCACTGGCGATGCATTTCGTTGTATCGTATCTTTGATTAAGTCCTTCGCATAACTGAGAAAAAGGGAAAGACAAAAGGGAACGATATTAAAAGCTGCTACGTACGTGATTCATTAAACATGCTATTAATTAAGTAGATCTAGATATAAATACATTTATTATTTAACTTCTATCAGTAAGAACTTCTACTTTATTATAAATATAGTATTTAAACATACTGAATCTTGTCCTCGGACGTTCCCGTGATTTGGACAAGTCGTTCTTTAGCTCCAGGGTTTACTACAAACCAAGATATAATGTATCAGCGGCGCAATTTTGTTAATATTGATATCCATTTAAGAAAAAGATTTATGTGGTAGTTATCGTTAACATCTTTTACACAAGTCCAATGACACAGTTAATATGTTAAACAATGTGATATTAAATTCTGTTAAGATATCGCCAAAGCGAAGTAAGTATGGTATACAACGTATTTAAAAAATATTTGAGCGTATATAAAGTAACATTTAAATATCAGACCAAAAAATCGTTTTACGTGTTTAAGTTAGGCGATAAAAATATTAATTGAATGCCAACCTTCCCCGTCCATGTGGGACTCACGATATACAATCCATCTGTCGATCTGGCGTTAATAAATTGGTAATATAATATCTTTCTACTCGGCTCTTAAGGATGTATCAGAGGTGTATAGTCTCTGCAAAAAGTGACTAGAATTGAAAGTTTAGTTTACATATAAAAATGAATGTTATGTACATATAAAACAGTGCAGTAAGATCAATATTTAACAATAAAATTTTATAGTTTAGACAAAAATTTCATTTTTTCTTAATTATTTGTTGAAAACATGTTCACTTCTTACTGAAATAACTTTAAATCCAAATTTTAAATCGCCATACAACTTATTATTTTCAAATACAATATAGAAAAATCTGAAATTATTTTTCATAATAATTTGTCAAAAAATACGTGTAATACATCCTTAAAACTGCGAGCGCAACATTCATATGTTTCACTCATCGGGCTGTTAAAGAGACACATTCCACAATAATTGATATAAATTGTATATATTACGTATTAGAGAAAAAAATATAATATTTCGTCCCATCTATACGATTTTAACAGAACAGAAAAAAAGAAAGAAAAAGAAAACAAAAAAAAAACAAGTTTAATTTTTATTGCAAAATGTAACACTTCTCCGTCATCACGTGAAAGAAAGCTGACGTGCCCTGCACTTCTCGATTAGTAGATCACGTTGCAAAAATTAAAATACTAACTCAATAGCCTGATCATGGTTAGATAAAACAGCTTTGTCATGCAAAAAGTGACCTGATGAAAAAATATTGGCTGCGACTTTTTATTATAAACTTATTTTTTTTATATATGTAAATGAGATTTTAAAAACAATAGCGAACAAGTTTGCCACGTCAAACTTCAATGCTCAGTGGTGTGAGAGAAGATTAGAGATGTTTTTGTGTGGCATAAGAGAGAGCCTCGTTCGACAAATTAATACTATTTTTGCGATGCATGAGCACAAAATGCTATAACAAGCCATGGCGGATCATTCATTGCTTTACCTCGCTGGAAGGAGATGATCGTCTGGCTGAGCTCTTCTATCATGTGAACCCGCCGCCCTTTTATTCCCATCACTGTATTTTCGTGTAAATTATTTAACAACAGAATGGCCAACATAATTGGAAAATCATTAAAAAGTCCGATACAAACAAATTTCACTTTGCATAAAAATGAGATTCTTGTTTCCATATCTCACATACAAATCCCTACTAATCATATCGCGATATATTAAAAATATTGAAAACAATTTATAAAGTAATGTAACGAAAAAATTGTCAAAATTGTACGATCTGCATTTTAATCAGTGTAAAAATCGAATATACCTATTTGATCCAACAGAAGTTTTATATAATAAGAATAAAAGCAATGAAATTACCTTTGCCCGAGTCACTGTTGCGAATGACGACCTCGTCTTTACAATAATTTTTCCCCGGTATGCGCGTAGGCTTCGCGAACTTTCCGCTATTCTTGATCACTTCCCCGGGTCCCAGGATCGGTGCTGAGGTGGGTGAAGTTAATAACGGGGACGACAGAGAGTTCGTAGGTGTATCGGGTACTGAATCGATCTGCTAGAATAAGAAACAAAATTATTTAATCTAATACTAAATAAAAAAAATTTAATACAAGATTTTTTATAAATATTTTGATATAGACTCAAAATCTAGAAAATAAATTTGAATATTTTGATTCATTAAAATTTTTTAATACTGTGTGATTTTAAAATGTAATTTTGATATAACTGATTATAGAGGAAAAAATTTTGAATGTTTTTCTTTTTTTTCCTTTCCGTGTTTTGCAACCAACTAAAAAAGTGACAATTTTTGAATTACGTCGTTATTGTAGCAAATTAGTAATATATTGAGACGCGCTTTATTTTATTAAGTACGATCACTACTCTTATTTTCGCTTTCATGTCTCAATTATAATTTTGAAAAGTTACACGAGTGTAAAAACGCTATGAATAAAATACGAGTTTTACCAACATTGTCTAAATGCGACAACTTCTGCATGTAGTACACGTCCATCGAATCGGTGTGACGCCATTGTTTCGCTCGCAGCTCGATAAGTTCCAGCAGATGAACCCTAGTCGTCAGATCTAATCTGTCGTCCTGGCTCCCATTTCTGATCGCCACAAAGGCTCGGTCCAGCTGATCTAGAATAAAAAAATAATTACTTGCAAAATCTTATTTAAACGCACGTAGAATTAAATCGTCAAATTGCAATCTGGCATAAAAAAATCTATCCTAAAACATCAAGAACTACTATTTATGTATGCCACTAGTTTTTAAAAATACGTTTTAAGCCCAAAGGATCCTTTACCTTTGTAAATAGCTTCTAATTGATTGGCATAGAGTTTCAGATGACTACACATAGAGATTACATTTATTTGCAGCGTTCGGTCATGGAAGCCATTGGTCAGTTGCATTGCAACATTGTCGATTAAGGACACTATATCCTCTACTGAAAAGTCAGAAGAAACAAAGAATTCACAAAGAGAGTCACCATCTAGTACAGGAAAAAATAAATGCTTATCAACATAAAAGATGCTTTACAAAAAAATGATTATACTTTTATACAGAGTGCCTCATTTTAAATAATACATTAAGAAAATTACGATACGGAAAAATGTTTCAAACAAAAGTTGTATGGTTTGTCAATTTTTAAAAATGGAAACCTTAATTTTTTATTGCATATTTTTGTATTTTATCTTGAGAGCAAAAACATTATAACAAAATATTTTTTCATTGAGTACTCTCCGAGTTAAAAGCTTGGAAATAATTGTATCGCCAACGTCAGCATTAAGGTATCACCCTGTACAAGAGATTACAAAAGTTTAGCTCAGGGGAGAACATAAGATTTACCAGTCGTGATCCGCCCATCGACGGTCGAGTTGCGCTGGTTAAGCTTAAGCGGCCGTGGTTTTTCGAGCTTCTTTACGGTTCTGGCTCTGTTCAATTGTGCGGTAGCCATTGTGATTCTGCAACAAAGATAATACATTAAAAAATCGAATGTCCAAGTAGTATAATCTTAACTTAAAATAGAAGTTTTGTGGCTCCAAAAATAAAGCAAATGTAAGTAAATTATCTATATCAGCTTCCAGTTTTAATGCATAAATAATTAATATAATTGTAAGATAAGATATAATTCGCAAACAATTGGAATATATTATACTATTAACGAAGTTAATTGCAAAGTACATCCAAATTACATCTTATTACTTTATAAATATATTATTGTGATTTCCTCGTACAGGAAATTTATTTTATATAATTTTAATGTTTTAAATTATAAAATAATAAATTTCCTGTGTAAAAAAATCACAATAATATATTATAATAGTACATATATTCTACGTTAAAAGTTTGGAACTTTTAAAAAAACTGATTTTTTAAAAATATTTAATTAATGTTTTACTTACTGAAAAATCATTCATAATATTTTTAACAATAATTCTTTAGATCCAATACCAGTTATTTAAAAAAATTATTGTTAAAAAGACATTGTTATAATGATGAATATGAATAAGTAATTCCAAAAATATACCAATTTTTAAAAAATGTTTCCAAATTTTTAGCTTGGAGTATACATGATATTATTTAATACATTAGTATTCAAAATATTGTACTCAATATTAGCGTTAATCATTTGACATAGAAACACTTATTCTAAGGAGAAAGCATACCGAGATAGAATGAAAGTTTCGCGCTGTACTGCCTTTCAATAAATTCACTTCTTCCGTATGGAACAACAATTCATTAAGCAATACGAGAATTCACAACGTCACTCGGTTTGTCCTAAATTCGGATTTCTTTCGCAAGGTAAAAGTCTTTCGAAACACAAAAGATGACAGTGGTGAATCGCTGTTATTTTGCTCGGGTCGTTTCGCGACGGAAATAATTTAATTTGCGGCGTCCACGGCGGCGTTCCCTCGTCGTCACGCAAGCAGAGGACGAATCGCGTAGCAAAACAGAGCCGGTGTGAGAGAACGGTGGTAAAATCCCGGAATCTTCGCCCTTGCCACCCTCGTCCTCCAAAAATATACTTCATCCGCGCAACGCACCGCGTAATGGCCACGTTTGTCGCGCTAATCGAGCTACAAAAATCCAGACAAATCGTTCCTCTATCTATTAAAAAATAATACGACGTATATAATTGTGGGAAATAATATATGTATATCTCGGACAGCTAAGATTATTAAGAACAAAATCTACAGTATTTCTGGTTTTTGTTATAATTTTGCATGCAACTTTTTAGAATTTTTACATAAATTTCAGAATTTTGCAGAATTTTGCAGAATAATCTTGTAACTTTTTGAAAATTTCTCAGATTTTCTATGAAGATTTTTGTAAGTTCGGGCCTTAATTATAATTTTAACATTTTTAATTGCTGATAAAATTATAGTACATGTTAATCGAGAATGATATATTATCTACTATTTAATACGATACTATTAAAAATATTGTATTTAATACTAGATTTATGTTTGTTTCCATTAATATATATTAACTTTAATCTTGGTTATTTATTTTTGTCCTAATTCTATTAATTAAAAAAGATGAAGAGTAAGTTGAACTGAGATTAAAACTTATCTACAGAGGAAACAGACATAAATCATTTGACATAAACGCTTATTATAAATAATAAGTATATAAACGGCAAACGCGCGATTGTCGGGGCGCAAAAATAAATTTACATACATAAAAAGTTTATTATAAAGAGAAAATATCATCTGAAAAAGAACATTCTTTGGGTCGATCCTTAATAAAATTTTTATTAAAATTATAAGGAAAATTTTAACATATTCAATTATTAATTTAATATAATGTGATTATGTTATTTAAATATATTGTGTTCAATTGATTTCAGCATTTCTTAATGCTAAAATAACATAAAAATAATGTGTTTTAAAAGATAAATTCCGAGATAAATGAATACAAATATTTGTGTGTTAATTTAATACATTATGAATATTAATTTTACTGGCAAAAATATGATTCCACAGTATGCTGACAAATTGCATCAGAATTACACAATTTTTTGTGTTCATTCTTTACATATTTGTATTTTTTTCTAATATATTCATTTGAGAGAATAAAACGTGAATAAAATTTAATACAAATTTTCGAACTGTTCAAGTCTCTATTCTCTTTAAACGTTAATTCGCCGAAAATTCGACTCTAGTTATATCAATTTCAACTCGTACGTGTAATACGATATTTAAGGATTATCAAGACACAAGGATTTTTGTGCCTCGCAATTCCTAGAACGGTAGAAAAAGAGAAATGAGGGGGGAGAGGGGGAGGAGGGAAAGAAAGAGATTAGAAACCGACGATACAACGGCAAAAATAAACAAGTTGATTTGTGATTGTGTGTGCGAGCATTCTCTGTAAATATTTTCCCACGCGAGAGAAACAGCCAGCCACATTACGTTATGCCATGAAAGGAGACATGAGGAGAGGAAGAGGAAAGAGGAGAGCGACAATAATGCAAGAGAAAGGGATGACATCGCAGGGTGGGAGGAGGGAAGAAAGAGGACGAAGATACGGACAATAACATTGAAGCTGATGATTCCGGCTGCACTTTTCTCACATCTTCTGCACCCGGGATGAAGTAAGTACACGTCTATACTCAGAAAAAATTCGGGGATGAGACATCTTATGAAATGTCTAGACATTTTTGAAAAAAAAAAAAAAACTATTTTGAAAGCATCTAAATGACGTTTTCTGATTTGGAGTTCCTGTTACGTACATAATATAATTGTTTTCCGTTTTCACATCGGTGACATGATGGCCATTTCTGTCACTGCAAATTAATTTTAGTCTTTAATCTAGGTTTAACTTATTTTTTATTATTTCTTACTTCTCTAAGAACTATACTCTAAGAATTAGAATTATTGATGTAATTCAAATATATTTACTGTAACTGTAGAAATATACGCCAGAAATTAGTTAACATATATTTTTCATCTTTATATTAATGTTTCTAATATCTTTATATTAATTTTTATAGTTTTTTAATTTGTAGACTTTATATCTTATAATGACGATGTATTAAATATTTATTTCAACATATAAATTTAATTTATTACAGTTACAATCCCTACAGTTTTTATTCTCCTGCATTTGAATTGATAAAGCAAATTAAACTGAGATTAAAGTTAATCTACATTATGCCCATTTTTACCAATACAAATTTACTTGATTTAATTTACTTTATATCTTTTTCAGATTCTAAGAATTAGAAAGAGATGAAGAGTATATTAAACCAAGATTAAACTTAATCTACATTAGCTAGAAATTTCTAAAGTTATGCGAGTACTTTAGACCTAGATGAAGTCACTACTTTCTTATTTTGATGACAAAGTTATCCTATAATATAGTTCAATCTTACTTTTAATATAAATTACTAAGTTTTGCTCGATAAAGCAGATGGTCTCGATTTTGTACAAATTACAGGTAAAAATTGTATCTCATTTGTCAAAATGGAAAGGGACGTGTTCAACAGAATTATGACTTCATAATAAGAACCATTAGAGTTTGGTGTAAATGAAAGGCAATTATTATTATTATTATTCCCATCTCAGTGGGAGAGGCAGATAGACAGATGGTGCAAGTAGACAAACGAATCTATTAGTACATCAGAAGCGGAGAAATTATTTCTGGCGTTTTGTGTATATGTTGCGCGCGCGCGCGTTCACACTCACTATCACACACATACACACACACACACACACACACACACGTGTAAGCAGCCATGGAGCGCGCGCGCGCAAATGCGAATAATCGCACTTGACGTGCGTGGCGAGGAAACTCTCGCCGGAATTCCGGATATGGAAGTGTCCCAGACGCGAAAGCGGTGACGGCGATGAAAGACAGACGACGAAAAATCAACGAGTTTCCGCTCGCAGGAAAGAATGACACGACCACGACGTGCGATGCGAGTTGTACTTTGAACGTACCTTTCGCGAGATCCACCACCTTGTCGTCGGCCGTACGCAAACGGATCAACGACACGCAGATCGTCCGGTTGGGATCGCGAAGACGACGGTTCGTCGACGTGCGTCGCGAAGATATATGCCGACTACTGAGAATTGATGTCCAGTACCGCCAATCACGTTGGCGACGGGAAGAAAGTCACTAGATATGGCTGTAGGCACAATATATTGTAAGTACAATACATACAGTATGAACACTGGGGATCAATTCTGTATGTTGAAACGAGGGGGTCGATTCTGTATTTTTAAATAAGGTAAAAATTACAAAAGTGAGCAAATGTACTAGATGTTGACCAATGAAATTATTAGTATTCTAGTAAATTTGCTCACTTGTAATTTTTACCTCGTTTCAAGATACAGAATCGACCCCCAAGGTGAACATTACAAAAGTGAACAAATTTACTAGGTGTTGACTAATGAAATAATCAGGGAGTCGATTGTGTATCTTGAAATGAGATGAAAATTCCAAAAGTAAGCAAGTTCACTAGTTGACTAATTGAATTATGAATATTCTAGTGAATTTGCTCACTTTTATAATTTTCACCTCATTTCAAGATATAGAATCGATCCTTTAAACTTTTTATGTGGTCTTCAATTTTCATGCGCATGCATCGATTTTCGACCAGGAATATGACTGCCTTCAGTAAATTGAAATTGCAGGTTAGGTTAGGTTAGGTTGGCTGAGTATCTTCTTCTCATAAAATATAATTAACTCTTTCGCCTACAATATCGTGAGACTCGTGATAAGAAAATCAAGCCAAACATGAGTATCACGGGCGTTGTGGGCATGAATCGGACCACAGCCTAAAAGTTGACTTAAAGTCGACTTACAGTCGTCTTTAAAGTGGGACATTGTATGATTTAGAGACGTCTCCGAGTCGTCTAAAGTCGACTTATGGACGTCCATTTTTCAGACGTCTAGAAACTATAGTCGACTCAGAGTCGACTTAGAGTCAACTTTGTGCTGTTAGAGTGCATTTTGAAATCAATGCTTCAGATTGGCTGTCGCAATAAGCTTGCGATCGGCTTACGTAGAATGGGCTTTGTAATTATTTTTTAATAAAACTTAATTTTATTAATCTTTTGCCCTACTTTTCTATTACAAATTAAAAAAAAAATTAAGCTTCCCTAACAGCGCAAAGTCGATTCTGAGTCGACTATAGCTTCTAGACGTCTGTAAATCGACTTTAGACGACTTTAAATCAACTATTCTAGACTGTGGTCCGATTCATGCCCACAACGCTCATGAACAGCATTCATTCTTGTTTAATTATAGTTAAACAACAAATGATTCCACATTTAAGCTTTGTGAACGTAAATCTCACTAGACGTCCTAAAGTTGATATTGGAAGGACGTCTGTACAAAGTCGACTCATAGTCGATTCTAAAGGCCTGACTTAGCAAAGTCAACTTACAGTCGACATATCGACGTTTGTCGATCTGTTAGGGAGCGTTTATATTGGCCATAACCGTATGCCGTATGTCGTAATCTGTAAAAAATGACCAATGATCACTTTGAGTATTCCTTTCTTATAGTCGAATAGGAAAGGAATATTGTGATTAGTCAATTCTTGATAGATTATGGCATACAACTTAAGGTTAAGCCGGTTCTACATTAGTTGCAAGCTGATCGCAAGTTTGTTGCGATATTCAATCTGAAGCTTGCATTTTGAAATCAACGCTTTATATTGGCTGTCGCAATAAACTTGCGATCGGCTTGTAACTAATGTAGAACCGGCTTTACGGTCAACTTTAAAGCTTAATATTTCGGTTCGCGAAAGTATGATATTTTACTGCCGGATTCTTTCGTTTCATGCAAAGATACTACAAATGAGCATAATTTTATTAAAATTGAAGGTAAGAGGCATCTTTTAAATAATTATCCGAGAATTTTATGAATAATAAAATGATAAATATATATAAATGATAGCAAGCCTATATATAAAAACATTTTGTGTCATCATTATCTTTAATTAAGAATTTTTTTTTATGGAATTGTATTCATTTTCATCACACAAATCTAATACTTTTATGTAAACAATATGAGACACCATTTATCTTGCACTAAAACGTTTTTTATTCCTTGCCAGCATGCTTACACTCATCATCTGAATTGCACTAGGTCAGTTCTAGTGCAATACTTATGCAGGAATAGAAAAACTTTAGGCCACTGTTACGCCGATTTACGCCAGACTGACACAAACAGAATGCTCTGATTACAAGTCAGGATTACTTAGGACCACACCTGGATTCATCCTGCAATGACATCGATGAGATTTTTCATGGCGAAAAAATATTCTGATCGAGACCCTCCGAGCTAAATTGAATAAGTATGTTATAAAATATATTATATCTGATTTCTGAGAATGTATAATTTTTGGTTTTATATACGTATTGTTTAATGATAGCAATGGAGAACAATCTGGAGATTATCCTGCCTCATGTCTGTAACTGTGATAGTGTCTGAAGTATGGCCTCATTGCTACCAGTCATTGCTACCAATAGAAATCCAGATTCTAATTGATTTAATATATAGAAAGATAAAGCTAAATCAGCCTTATATGAGAGTTTTCTTGAAAAAATCTGAAGTAAGTTCTTTCAAATCATTCTTTAGCATTAATTGACATAAGTAATGTCAAAATTAATAATTATATGAATAGTATATATATAGTGTAAATAATTTCAGTTATAATATGTCATTTATTCATATAGAATTATAAAACGAACTGAAAAGAGCAGAAAGAATAGAAAAGAACAGAAAGAAAAGAGAGAACAGAAAAAATCAATGAAAAAAGCTCTAAAAATAAAACCACAAGTACATGCGTCTGAGAAGAATATGGAAAAACCATTAGCTTCATCAATTCCTCAGTCTAGTAGTTAATCTATATTAATAATAGTCAACCTATATTAATATGTAGCCATGCCAGGCAAAGTCATCATTCAATACTTGAAGAAGACTAAAACTGAGAATCTATTGATTTTAATAGATGAAGTTGACAAGATTGGTAAACATGTAATTTGTGTAAACATATAAAGAAATAGATAAATATTTTTTTAAGATAGAAAATATTCAAAATATTTAAATAATTTAGAGAATATTCGAACCATTTAAAATTGTTTGGCATTTTTATAATATTTTTGATAAATGAGTTCTACATCATTTATAATATTATATTGTAGAAGACACCAACGAGATCTAGCATCTGTTCTTCTCGAAATGCTCAATCCAGAACAAAATGCAAACTTTCCGAATCACTATTTAGATGTAGGATGGGTAAGATCTTTTTATTTAAGATATCCCAGCAAACGAGAATTAGTTCAAATGGATTAAAATTTATTCAGATTTTCAGAAATACGGATTCATGAATATTAAAATGAATTTAATTATTGAATTTAATCATGTTAAAATGAATCATGAAATATCTTTCATGATAGTGACTATATGTGAAATAATCTTAACTATAAAAAAAAAATTTTTTAACTATAATGCAAATTTTAACTATAATGCCCGAAAGCAGACTTTTTGTAGCAACACCGTCGAACAATTCGGCAAACTTAATAGCGGAACGTTTATTGGAAAGTAACATACTTAAACCATATGGTATGTTTGTTTTCTACTGATTTCTTGATTATTACTAGAGTTTCTGATCTATTATAAAAATCTGACAAAATTTTTAACATAATTTCATACATTTGTTAATAAATAAATTAGTTAACAAAGAATTACCTTAAAAAGGATCAAATTATAAATTATTAAATAGGTTCCGTTTCTTATATATATAAATATTATACAATCCTAAAGAAGCTGTACAAGTATATCTCTATTTGTTAAAATTGTATAAATGTGGGTTTGTAAAATCAATATAATTACTTGTAATCATGATTAAGGGAAATTAAAAAATTCGTTACCTTTTAGGCCGTGCTGAAAAATTTGAAAATGTATAACGAGACATTAAATCAATACAAGTTACAGTGATAAATGTCACTGTAATGACAAGTTGTAGTAATAAAGCTATATGTGGTAGAGTTTGTGACAATTGTTGGGCAGCATATAAACCTGACTTTCTGTTACTTGATTAAAAACCTCTCACTCAATCATCTATATAAGATACAATCATTCACAAAAGCGCCGCAATCACCTAATCAAATTTTTTTCTCAATTATCTAGTCTTGATTATAATCAGAAGCAAACTCCATTAATTGTTGAAAGTATCAGCTATTGGGCAGACTCATATTGTAAAAAAAAATAAAAATAAAAATAAAAAGATTGTACATATAATATAAGATTGTAAATAAGTTTGTAATTTATTGCTATCATTTACTTTAAAAAGATTGTACAAATGCTTAAATTTAAATAAATAATGATCGTGTTCTAATATTCACTGCCAGTATTGAAAATCTATAATTATACATAATATTAACCATAGATTTTTTAAAATCTATAGTTTGAAAATCTATATTTATTAACTTCTGATCTATATCTATTAACTTCGCAATGTAACCTTACATAAACAGTCTTGAATAAAGTACATAAAGTAGATAATTATATTAAAAAACTAAAATGTTTGTTATTTATTTTATAATTTTCTTACATTTCTATAAAGTACAGATTAAAAAAATACTATTTCTTGAAATAACTTATAATTCAGATGAAGAATTGCAGATAAACTGCAATTTCGCATATGTCACATAGATATACATATTGAATTGAGATTTATCAAAAGTTACATTGGAGGAATAGTAATCAGATCATGTTTTAGCATCATAGACATAAGCCTTATGTAAATAATATTTACACTGGTCTCAATACAACACGCAAGTAGACCTATATTGACTTTCAAGGAAAGAGATCGTTTTTTCCGCTTTCAGTCGTCAGTACGCATCACTTGTGATATAAGCTATTATTTAATACATATTTCTATATATTGTATTTGTTCCTAACACGTTTCGGTTATTATCATGTCTATTCCGTTCAAATTTAATGAAAATGTTATAGAAAAGAATGATGAAGAACAGCAAAGTATAGACTCAATTACCTTGAGACGTTGGTAAGTTTAGAATTTCTTTTTTATTATTCTTGAAAATATACATCGACGAGCAGTAATAATGGATATTATTTATCAGAATTAGACTCGTGTTTAGCTAGAAGATTATACGTTGATTTAGCTAGAAGATTATGCAACTGCATTTTATATGTGTTTTTATTATAATGTAAATGCGATTAGATAAATCTTCTTTATGCGGCATAATATTTTTATGCGGCAATGAAAATTTATGTTCAGAGACTCTTATTCTACAATTGTAAAACTAAAAAAAATACAAGAAGACATCCGTTAGTGTGTTGATTAAAATTCCTCAAAATTTTTGTATTTAAAACAAAATGAACATACATTCGGGCGTTGAAAAAAGAGAACACGAAGATTAAGAATAAGAAGTATACGAACAATACGGAAAGATTCAAGATTTTACGTTGAAATGTTCAATTGTCCACATAAACGTTTGTTTGTCACATAGCAAAAAAGTGATGTGATAGACAATAAGTTAAATTTACGTCAATACGAACATAGGTGAAGCGTATATGATTTTTTGAGAAATTTCCCTTTCCTGTATCTTCTATTAATTTTATAATAACAAGAAAAGACAGTTTTTTATCTTTCTAACACAGCACAAGATCAGTTGATTCAATATTATTATGAAAAGTGTGTTATTCGGCCTGATACATGAGAAATAAAACTTGAGCAGAAATCGAATTACCATTGGAAAATCTCAAAAATATAAGAGAACTTAAAAAAATCTATGATCTCTATTTGCTAATTTCTTACAGTTCTTATGTTCTTCCGTATAGGCATAGATCTTTTCGAATTTTAGCGCGATTTGCAACTTTTCAGTTAAAGCGAAATTCCGACAATCATCACTTATTATTGCTCTTCTCACGAAACGAGATCCTTTAACTACTTTCCTAATTAATCATTGATTTGTACTTATGGTAATATATATTTAATAAAAATTGTAATTATTTTAATCGAAGGCTTTTGCTGAGAACGAGCGTCGATTATGAGAATTATGGTATTTATGATATAAATAAAAAACATCCGATAGAAGTGGATATTATGTTCAAAACAGCAATAAAGTTATTGATTGCTAATATTTCAAATAAGGTTGTTTTGGTTACTGAAGACGGAGAGGTATATGAG